ATTGTGTTGAAGTCTACCTAGGTGGAGCAACCTGATAAAACAACCACACAAAACCCCTTATTGAGGACGACATGATGAGCTTCGCTTTTGAGGTACTTAGTTGGACTGTAGAACCCCTTGATGGTCGCATCCCTAGTAAGGTAGATGCCCTCGGGTACCTGCTCCACCTCTCATCGAGCAGATGAATTCGCTCTCGTGCCCCAATAATCAAGATGGCAGGGTCCTACATAAGGCTGCAAACACTTGGACTCTTTTGACTCGAGAAGCAAATTGGACCGACGCTTACGAGTACGAACTAATCGTATCAGTCATTCCGGGCCAAAAGGAGCGATCTACTCCCTTCACCAAGCTACTTTCAGCTCGGGAGTGGAGGGCAATTGATGAGGGCGGATTTGGCCCTCCAATGACATTGTGACAGATGGCATCTCAGAATAGCTAGATGACACCTAAACACCACCTAAGTGATGATTTGGAGTCTTAGATTATGGCTCATCTTTACCCCGACTTGGCGACCTGCCTTTACGCCGATCTAGCGACCTCGACCACAACTTAGGTTGGCTTGTAGCACCTCGTCCAGGGTCAGCCTGTAGCACCTCGTCACTGGCCGAAGTGACCTTGACGCGAGGAGAGACATGCGGGATGTGCTCGCCGACAAATTCGGCATGCATATCCCGACGCTTCCAGGTTTCTCGGAAGTTGGCCCACGTACCAAATGTTTCGGAGGATGGTCAACGTGCATGGCGGTTACCATTGAGGGTTTTGTACCAGTTAGGTATGACCTCTCAGAAATCTCGGATGTAGTGCGCAAGGACCAAACCAAACAATGCCTATATAAAGGCACCAACCCCAATGACACAAGAGAGAGGCGAGTAAGCACATTCTAACTCTCATACTTTCTGATTTTTTAGCTCGCGATCTACTACGAGAGTACTAACTTAGTCATCGGAGCAACCTCGCCGGGTTAGCCACATCGGGTCATCTAACATTAATTCCTTGCAGCTTGTCTAAAGAGCTACCTAGTTCAGCAATCAACCTAGCTTGGCACCCAATCTACCCCCAGCTCGGCCTAGTCAGCTCAACATCCAAGTCCTCATCCAGCAAAAATCCTCCACTTCAGCCTTTGAATCATCGGCCACCTGGAAGTAGTCCGAACAACAGGGTACTACCAAAAAATCCTTCATCACAACTCGAGCAAAACTTTAGCCCACCCATACAGGCCCAATCTTTCATTGCAAAGTTGCGTTTTGGTCTTTTTTTTTATTATGGGTAAAATATAAAGGACTTCCTCGAGGATTTTGACAATCATAAAAAACCTCTACAATCATACCACATCATTTTTTTTTTGAAAATACCCATTTTAGCCTTACATCTATCAATTCAAATGGAGATTTATCAAAATACCCCAAAAGATTTTTAACTTATAACTAAAAATCTCCGACTTTCATTGAAAATAACAAAACAACTTTATAAACTTGTTAGATGGAGTGAAGTTTATAAGGGTTAACTTGGCATTTTAAGTTATGTTGAAAAAATGCCCTAACAAATCAATATCTATATATTAAATGGAATGTGCCAAGCAGGCACTTTCATGCTTTGTGGTTTATTTTCAAAGTCACTTTATCTTTTTTTTCTAAGTTACCTATCTTTTTTTTTTGAATTTTATAATTTTAAAATTGAACAAAATAATTCAAGTGACTAATCACCATTAAGACTTTTAACAATCCTTATTAAAACACCATTAACTCTCTCTCTCTCTCTCTCTCTCTCTCTCTCTCTCTCTCCCTCTCCCTATGTCTGTGTGTGTATCCATTTCAATTTAACTATGGTTTTATTTATTAGATATATTTACATTAAACTATAATTATTAGTAAAGATTAATTATATTGAAATCGAGATATTCAATGATATAATATTACACTAAATAATCTACTTCCATTTAAAATTATAATCCATTTGAAAATAACAAAAAGTAATTAACCATAATAAAAATATTTTAATAAGTTAAATAAAATAAAAATAATTATTAATTATTGTTATTGATAAAAATATTTTTTATTAATATAATAAAAAGAACATAATTAATAAAAGGAAAAAGATAAATTAAGAACTAGTATCAATTAAAAATTAATATAAAACTAATAAAAAATATCAAACAATTATTAGTTTTATAAATAAATTTTATTAATTTAAAACCAATTTAAGTTCCACAAAAAAATAAAAATTTATATAATTAATTAGATTACATAAGGATTTTAAATTCAATAGAAACTTAATATACTTAAATAAATTCCATTTTATTAATTTCAAAATTCAATAAAAAATATTAATTTTAAATATAGCTTAATTATTTTAAAATCAATTTAAATTCCATTATGAAAAGGAAAATTATAAAACCCCCCATGGTTTTTCTAACAATCCTATGAAACTCCCTAGTGTTTTGACCTTAGCAAAAACTTCCCCTATTGTTTTGAAAAGAAAAAAGGTGCAAATACCTTCCTTTTGTTAGCATTCCGGATAAAAAACTGTTGATGTAATGCATTAATTTTATTTTACTTCAACCTTTTATCTTATTGGTATTTGGGAACTAAGCATGAAATAAGTGCTTATTTTTTAAGCCCAAATTTATAGTTTTTTTAAGTGTTTATACAATAACCACTTATTAAATTTTTTTCTTCCAAAATTATCCCTAGCTGAATTTTAAAATACCACTTATAAAATTATCCCTAGTTAAATTTTATAAAATTACTTTTATGAAAGCACTTTTATGAAAGTATTTTTACAAAAGCACTTTGATAAAAACACTTTTATAAGTGCTTTTACAAAAGCACTTTTACGAAAGCACTTTTATAAAAGCACTTTTACGAAAACACTTGCAAATGCACTTTAATAAAAGTTCTTTTATGAAAGCATTTTTAAGAAAGTACTTTTATGAAAGCATTTTTACAAAAGCTTTATGAAAGCACTTTCATTCATAAAAATACTTTTATAAAAGTGCTTTTCTAAAAATGCTTTCATAAAAGTATTTTCTTAAAAGTTCTTTCGGAAAAGTGCTTTCATAAAAGAACTTTTGTAAAAGTGCTTTCATAAAAGAACTTTTATAAAAGTGCTTTCATAAAAGTACTTTCCTAAGAGCGCTTTCAAAGAGTATATTTTGAAAATTTGAAAGAAAATGAATGACAAAATAGTCACAAATGCTTATTTAAGTGCTTACTAGAGAAAAAAGACTACCAAACATCCAATATAAAATAAGTGTTTATTTAAAAAAAATAAGCACTTAAAAAGTTGAGTGCCAAATGCAAATAAGTGCTTATTTGAATAAGCACTTATTTTTAACTTAAGCACTCCCAAACATGGCCTTTGTCCAAGAAGTGTAAGGATTCTTTGAAAGTTGTTTTGCAAAATAAATTAGTGAAAGGTAGGGTTGAAACTTTAAATTATGTATGATAATGCATTAACAATGATAAGGGTATTTTGGTCACTCCAATGTCTTTGTTACCGAAAAGCCAAGGAAAATGAAGTATTTGCACTTTTTTCTCAAAACTATAGGAGAGGCCTTTGTTAGGGTCAAAACATAAAGGTGGTTTAAATAATTGTTATAAGAGGATATTTTTTTTTTTGTAATTTTACATAAAACAATAATAAATCAATAAAAACTAATTAAAAAAATATTTGAATTGAACTTAGATGGACACCATTTAATTGGAAATGTCATAAAGCTTCATATTCAATTTTGCTCATTCCAAATTTGAAAATAATACAAATACAAATATGTAGAGCGCAAAATCATGTATTTTCTATTATATTGTATGTATTTGTACTGCACAATGTACTCCTTCCAAACTAAGCCTTAGGCCAAGTTTGGAAGTTGTACAAATGCAAATTTGTAGAGTGCAAAACCTTATATTTTGTATTATTTTATATGTATAAGGCTCAATTTGGAAGGAGTACAAATAAACAAATTATAAGGGTTTGCACTCTACATATTTGTATTTGTATTCCTTCCAAATGGAGCCTTTGTCTGCGTTTGGAAACAATGCAAATGGAGTGTAAGTCCCGGTTCAGGATAAATTTGCACTCTGGTTCAATTTTGTTTGTATTTGGCAACATTATATTTATGCATTAACAAATGACAGACCAATGTATATTTGCATCGATAATAAGATGTAAAAATACATCAATAAAAAAGAAGTAAATTTGCATTCAAGTGGGCTTTTGATAAAAAAAAAAGAAAGCATATGCTTTTATTGAAATTCTTGTTTGCATCCATTACAGCTAAAAACCTATTTGGTAAGAAGATAAATTTGTCAATGTAAAACTAACTTAACTTTGTAATTTATATGAACCATTTTACACTCTACGTATTTGCATTCACACTTGCAGATTTTTTCAAAACTAAAATGAAGGTTTTTATTAAAGTAAAACTTAAAAGGGAAATTTTTATGATTATTAGAAGTTTTAGGGGGTTGCCCTTTATATTTTACCCTTTTACTATTATTATTTTTGGCTTCATGTTCATTGGGCTACCGACTACTTATACAACTTGAGCCAATTCGGCACCCTCCTAAATACTAACCTTTCACCAGACATTATTCACATCACAGGCTGTCTGCTGTCTGGGTTTTTAAAGCCAAAAAAGCTGCCATCTGAGAGCCCTTCAAAACGGGCACTCAAACTCATTTGGGGGAGAAACTTTGGCTGTTTTTGAAAAAAACAGTCCAGGCTGTTCGGGAATTTTCTGTGCATCACACGTATGCTAATTTGCTAAATTGCTATAAAAAAGACAATCAAAGGGACAAGTTGGGCAACGTAACGTGTCATGAGAGGGAAGTTAAAATTTCCAAATAGCCCACGGCCAAAGTTTTAGCTCCCCTCCGGGCTCCGGCCTTCTTTTTCTGACACAGATGAAAAGACAAAAATATCCTGATTATCAAACTTAAGGGCGCTCACGTCACCGCCTTCCTTGTTCTTCTCATCCCTTTTGTTTTGTTTTTTATTTTTTAATGCAATGTCTAATAATATTAATAATAATAATAATCTAGGAATGCAATTTCAGTAGCTGGGAATAAGGATTGGGAAGGAGAAAGGTCAATTGAAAATCAGAGTTTCGCGATCCTTTCCCCTGTAGCTGTCTTGTCCAATCGAGGAATTCTAATCACTTTCAATTATCGTTTCTGCAAATTTTTATTCTCTAGTTCTCTGATTATTCCGCCATGGGTATCTGGGAAGCTTTCCTCAATTGGCTGCGAAGGTAAATGCTTGTGCTTTGGTTTCCTCAAAGTCACTTTTTCAATTAATCTGAATGTATCTGGCTTTCTGTAATTTTGGTTTCGAATCTTTGTCAAAGAATTCTATGTTTGATCATTTGATTATTGTCTTGCATTGTTCCCTTGCTCCTCCTTTTTGTGCCCCCTGCCTTTCGAATATGTAGTTATATGTTGCAATTCTGGATTTCAGTAAGGTCTTATTCCGGTTTTATTAATAGAAAGTTTTGCCCCTTTTTTGTTTAGCGTTTGGTACGTATAAAATTATGTAGGGTTTTAGGAGAGATTTCTTCTTCTTCTTCTTCTTCTTCTTTTTCTTCCTTAGGTTCTATACCACTTAAACTTCTTTTGGAAAATAAACATTTTTGAATCGAGTTACAGACTTGAAGGGTGTTGTACTTGAATTTGCAAATGATGCTTCATTGTTATAGGGGGTTTTAGTTACTATTAATTATTATTTATACCAGAAATCTTTTTTTGGTCGTAGAATGATTGAACATGTCTTATAGTTTGCTGCACTGGACAACTGGCTTACTTGTTCTTAAATAGAGGATGGGATTTCCTAATAGGCTGTAGTTTCATTTGGTTCATCATGTCCCATACTGTTTGATATAAGTTTCTTCGTTAGTTCACACCTGAGGTAATTCTTTCTGTAGTGTTGGGTTTTGTGAGATGTGCGAATTAACATTGAGGGATAGAGAAGAGACGAAAGTACAACAATAAATGAAAGACCTGAGGACAAAGGGAAACAACAGATGAAGATTTTTAACTTAACAGATAACTGAAAATAGAATATGGGAAAAAGGAAAAAGAAGCCATAAAGGTCATTACCCAATCTTGGTCCTAGCTATCTGAGGTCCCGGGAGATGTGGACTGGATAGAAACAAGAATGCGAGTAAAAAATATGGAAAGCAAGAGCAATTAAGATATGTCTCATGCTGATTTTTAGGTTATGTGATTGTGACATAATGAAGAGGTAAAGTTAGGTTCACCAGTGGTCTAGTATACCTATCATCCAATAGGGTATATTTGGCATTTTTGGTGACTGATCATGTGTCTAGGCATTTCCTTTTGTGAAGTATTTTTATTTTTTGAGAAAAGGCATTTCATTACTGAAGAAAGGAAAATAAACCCACAAAACATCCAAGAAGGTTATACAAAACTGTACAACCAGCAAAAGGCTCATTGCCAAAAAACAAAACATGAACCCAGCAATCAGTCCAATAAAACATCTAGGGAGAAATATATGCTAAAGGGCACATTATGAATGCTTTGCATAATGACCCCATCTTCCTGTAAAGCCTTGTTTTCAATAATCTTCTGATTTTTTTCTTTTTCTTTCCATACGGACCAAAAGATGACAGCTGGAACATTCCTCCAAACTTTCTTTCCTTTCTTACTCAATTCCCTTAGCTGCCAACCTTCCAAAGCCTCCATTTGCTGATGATGGGAAAACCTAATAAACATTCATTGTTTTAAGAAATGTAGCCCAAATCCTCCAAGAAAGTGGGCAGTGCATGAACAACAGTTTGGAAGATTGCCTTACAATAAAAAAATAATTGTGTGCTAGATTGCGTGCACAAAATTGTGGATGATATTGTACAAATATTTGGATATTATAATATGCATATACCATATTTATTAAGTTTTGTTCAAAATTTCTTTTGATTGATTACAGAAAAGAGGAAATTTATAAGAGAGAGAAAGAATGGAATACAAGAGGTAGAATTTCAATTAAAGCTTGACAAAGAAATGTAGCTCATCCCAGCAGCACACCCCAAAGAGGCTTATCAATTCTCACTGGATTCCTCCCCTTCCAGCTACAAATTATCCCTATCAGCTCCTTCTCTGGCTAGTGAATCTAGTGGAATATTTACAGATCTTTTGAACCTCTTAAATTAGATGTTCATGATGGTCCCAATGATATAGATTCTCTAATAGAATGAAGATATCTTTTCTTTTCTTGTCCATGCTATTCTCAAATTAACAAATTTCAAAGAGAATTAACAATATAAAACATCAATGCTGAAACCAAATATCTATGTTCTTAAAACTTCAAAAATGGTAAAGATATATCTACATATCTGAAAATAGAGAATTGTCTAAGCTGGTGGAGTGCCTAGGGGCTAGGTGCACAGGTGACCAATTTTGTGAACAGTAAGATGATTGAAATCTAGGTTATTGATGCAAAAGTGGACTCTTGTGCAAAATGATGAAGTGAAAGATGTGCTCTTAAATATTTTGATTTCCCTTAATTATTTTTAATGGATAAACATCTTGAGTAGGTTTTGTTTTAAAAGTTGGTCTTGCAGCTTCCAGTTACTATCACTATGTTTTCTATTTTTTTATAACAGTTAATTATTACCAATAAAAATTTGATCACCTCAGTTATTGGTAGTTATGATTTTAGATAGTTTTTATTTAAAAATTGAGGCAAACCTCCTACTTAGGATCATAACATTTCTTAGATGATCAAATTTAGGTCTATCTTACAGTTGATAATTGTTGGACATTGCTTAGCTGGAAGGTTGACTTCATTAGTTCCCAATAAGCTTTTTCCCTGGGGGAAGTAAGATGAGTAGGAATTCCTCTTCAACTAACATCTCCAGGGTAGAGAGTGGCAGTTATTAGTGAAGGAATGTAAATAAGCTGTATTTCCACCTATTTGTATCTAATGCAAGGCTAGTAGTTGGACTATCTAAAATTTGGAATCAATTCATGCCCCCTTTTGGTGCTTAATGGCAGCCCCCATCTGATATTCTAACTTGTTCAAGTGAATATTCTTTTGGAAAGGGAAGTTTAAGTGGAGATACTGTTGAATTGCTATTTTATGGTGTGTTTGAGTTTGGAGGAGAGGAGATCTAGTTTTTTCCCCAATAAATTCTTCTCATTTAAGATCATTTGGTAACCTTTTGTATTGCTTGTTGGATATTGGATAGAGGTAATTTTAGACACTTTCTGTAGATTCAAATTCAATGGTTAGAGGCTACCAGGCTGCCAGGTTATTTTGATCTCCTTAACTCATTAACAACTAGTGTTTTTGATAAATAATTTAAAATTTCATTAAGAAAAGAACTGGAGATACAAGCTTCCCATGAAGAGGCGTGGGCTGCGTCTTCTCCAAAGAACAAGAAGAAGTAGAAAACAAAAAAGCAAATTCAAACTACAAATGAGCCCAATACAATTGTTCCCTGTTTGCCCCTAGCTTTACTAGACAATCAGCCAAAGCATTTGCTGATCTCCCCACCCATATTATACTTTCAGCCAAGCTCCTTATCATCCATTTATATTTTTTAATTTCATTCTTAAAGTTCCACACAATAGACTCAGGGTTCTATAGCCAGCCCACTACCACCTTGGAATCCCCTCCGATTAGTTGTTGTTGCACACCTAGCTGAACTGCAAGCTGTACACCCTGGATGGCAGCTAGCAATTCTTCCCTAGTAGAGTTCCCAATCCCTAGGGGACCTGAGTAAAGGAGGACTACATTTCCAGTTTCATTCCTCAGCACCCCTTCCATTCCAGCGAGTCCTGGATTACCTTGACTGCTATCATTGATATTCTGCTTCAAAAAACCTTCAGGAGGTTCCCAACTCATACTGATTCTAGTCTTTAAAGAGGAGCAGCTTGCTACTTCTGACCAATTCCCCTATATATCACTAAAGGAGAATTGGTGGAATGAATCCAGGGACTTTAGCCGCCATATCACCCAATGCAGAATGCACATCTTCAATTCTAGCATTTCTTTCTTCCCATACTGTCCATATCAGTGCAGCTCTAGAACACCTCCACATGATTCTTCCTCTTTTTTGATGCCATTGGGAAGGTAGAAGGATCAAAAAGCAGACTTACTTTTGCTGTCTTATTCTACCGGCACCCAAACATCAAGAAGAGCCACTCCCATAACTTTGCAGTAAAGGAACAAGATGTTAGTAAATGGTATGATGGTATCAATCCTCACCATGAGATCTGCGAAGGATACACCGGTTAGGTGAGATACAAAGGAAAGGTCTTCTCTTTTGAAGAATATCCAAGGTCTTTATTTTCCCATAATACACCCAGCAAAAAGCCATACTCTTAGGGGGAATAGGCTTGCACCAGATTTCCTTAACAGGGAAGGGCTGGTTGGAAGGGGACTAAGAAAGGGACCTGAAAAAAGAAGCACAAGAAAAAGACCCAATCGGCCGGGGTGTCCAAACACGTTTATCTAGTTTAGAAGGGTCCAAGCAAAGTTTATCAAGGAGGCTTAACAAACTATGTAGGCATTCAATTTTCTTCTCTCTTAAGCCTCTATGAAACCTGAAATCCCAGTTAGGTGCCAATGGATTTTCCAGGGAGAGAGAAATTTACACAGAAAGTCTTTTTTATATCAAGAAACAAAGAATAAAGAAGGGAAGAGATCCTTTAGAGGAGCCTCTCCTACCCAAGTATCCTCCCAAAAAATAACAGAGTTACCATCACAAACATCAAACTTGACAAACCTGAGAAATTGAGGAAGAATACGATGTATCGCTTTCCATGGAATTGTTGATGCAGCTCGCTGAGATACTCTAGCATCCCACCCATTTTATGAACGGCCATGAATACTTCCTACCACCTCATGCCATAATCTCTTTCTCTCCAAGGGCCATTTCCACAGCCACTTCCCTAGTAATGTTGTATTCTTTTGAATCAAGTTTCCTAAACCCAACCTCCTCTTTATTCCGACAGACCACTTCACACTTTATCAAATGATCCTTCTTGCTTCCCCCTGGTTCCTATAAGAAGTCCCTCATCAATTTCTTTAGTTTGTTGGCTTCCCTAGGTGGAATCCTAAAGACAAATAGAAAGTAGGTTGGTAGATTAGCAAGTGTTGCAGGACTGCTCTCTAGCCTTGTTAAGCTCAACTTTGATGCTTTTGTTTTGGGGAACCCAGTGTCCTTTTGAAGTACCGTTGACTTCCTCTAGCCTATTCTCATGGTAGTTTCAACTTCCCAATGGAATTGATAATATCTCTTTGGTCCAGGGCTTAAGACTGGTATACTCCATAGGCACGGAGAGAGTTGAGAGTGAAGGGACAACGATGCAAATCCTTTTCCTTTTTAAGTGCTTATAGCTTGGGTAGTGGACAAGCATAGTCCAAGGCTTCATCTAGGATCCCTTAAATGTTTGAATTATACTAAAAGGGTGATCATCTAGGCAACAAGGTGATTGCCTAGGAAACAGAAATAACAAGGTGGGTCCCTTATTGTAATTTTATTACTAGGGATGCATCTTATTAGTATGTGGCTTGATACATGTTATCTTATACTCTGCTACTTTTGCTTTATTTTATGGTTTCATTGTTGAAGGACAAAAGAGGAGGTCCCCTTCGTTTTTTTTCTTTCCTTTTTTGCAATTACTCTTTCCTCTCTTCTCTCTCTCTCTCTCTCTCCGTCTCTCAAATATTGCCTTTTTTAGTTGCTAATGTTGTTTGCAAAAATTCTGTTTGAATTATTGAAGCTAATAGATATAAAGTTCTTTTGTGATTTGGATTTGATGGTTTTAATGAAACTCATTGTTACTTAGTAAAGAACTGTGCTATTTTTGTTGTGCATTTGTTGGTTGGTATATAAATCTAGGAGTTTACTTAGAGTTTAAGTTTTGCTTTCTCAAATACCACTCATGACTTCTGAGGCGCCTAGATACTCTACTGTTGCCTAGAATTGCCCACATGGCTTGAAAACCATTTGGCCAACCATGAATATTCTGAATTTAGATAGTTGCCATTTTGAAATTTCAATTCCCGGAGGACTTCAATTAAGCATGCCACATTTTAATGGATTTTCATAATTTGCTCATTATCAAGTTGTGTTTGAAAGATCGATCCCCTTTCTCTGGGGTGGAGTCTTCTGATAGAATCTACCTGGTCGTACTTTATAATGAAAATGCTCAGAAAGCTCCAGCTGTTTTAGCTGTTTACTTTTCCTGGATCACTGCTACATAGAATCTTTTCTACCGATAATTTTATGGGGAATCTTAATTTACCCCCACCTCACAAATTTGTACTTCACCCTACAATTGGGAACAGTGACAGTGGGGGAATTGTTGCCATCATGCCAATACCTGGGGAGGGGGGGGGGTATGGTGTCATAAGTGGGGGTGTTAGAAGTTTTGAATTGTTGTGAGTGTATGGTGAAGTTAAAATTTGTGGGGTGGGTTCAGTCATATTTCCCCCTAATTTTATTTGTTTGCTCTATTTCTTTTCATTTCCTTTCCCTTTTCATTGCAGCCTCTTTTTCAAGCAAGAAATGGAGCTATCTTTGATAGGTCTTCAAAATGCTGGAAAAACTTCGCTTGTGAATGTTGTTGCAGTATGTACATTTTTACTTGAAGCATCATCTATGATTTTTTTCCTTCTTGTTTTTCTATTTTGTTTTTACCTTACTATCTTTTAGTGCTGATTTCTAAGATATTGTCTCTTGATCTTTATTGTAGACTGGAGGATACAGTGAAGACATGATTCCTACGGTGTGTGATGTATTTCTTTTTGTTTATAATATGTTGGATGATATTCTATTTGCAAAATATCTTATTCCTTTATTTGTCATTTTCTGCAATAATATTTTTGCTTGCACATTTGTGGACTACAGGTAGGATTTAATATGAGGAAGGTAACTAAAGGGAATGTCACAATAAAGTTGTGGGATCTCGGAGGTCAACCCAGGTTTCGTAGCATGTGGGAAAGATATTGCCGTGCAGTTTCTGCTATTGTGTATGCAACCAACCTATTTAACTTATTAGTCTGCATAAGATGGCCTTCTTCTGTTATTTTACAAGGGTCTACCAAATCCTTTTTTTGTTAAAACTGGATGACAACTTTGGCATGTTTTACAGTTTTTAGATGTTCCTTTTTTAAATTGGTAGTTAGAACCATTGAAAGAAGTATGAGAATCACAGGAGGGCAGAAACAAAAAAGAGTACAATTGGAGATAATAAAAACACAAATTGACAAGGTCTTTGGTTTTTCTTCTTCATGGTTGTGAATATATTGCCTGGGTGAGAAGTAACAAAGTGATATAGACAAATAGCACCAAGGCAGTCACATTTAATAATCGGGCAGTTTCCTAGGCAACGAGCCGATGACAATATATGTGTATAGGCATGCTATGGTTTCTATTTTGTAGGTCCAATGTATCATTTATTAACTTATAGTTCATTGGATTCATTTCCCCTTTTAATTTGGTTTTATGTTATGCTATTAGGAACTTAGGTTTTATGATAAGCTCTTTCTTTAATATATTTTATTTATCAAAGGAGTTCACTTTTATTTCCTTTCTTTTTTTTCAGATACAGAAAGGTATTTTGCTCATCTTGAACCGCCTAATTAAATGTTTATCTTTTTTGGATAGCCTTATTGCATTGCCTTGATATCCAAAATGTATTTTCCATGCATTTAGAAAGAGAAGAATATTCACTCGGTACTGAACTGCCTTTTCACTTATTGGCTATGCTGCGATTTCTTTTGGCAAGTTTGAGCTGTGCTTGGTAATTCCAGGGAGTTTTCCAATCCAGTTCTTGCATGGCATGGATGGGGTTTCAGTTGTAGAGGGTTTATACTTTAGAACCTCCTCCCCATTGTGCTTATTGGAAAATTTGTTAGGAGTACCCCAAATCATCTCTGAACAAAGTGCAAGATGGAAAATACCATAGGTTCAGTTATCAATAAAAAAAACATTTATGTAATCACTTTTCTTTTTCTATTTTCTTTGGTGGACTTAGAGGGTTTCTATCACCTTATTTTATTCTAGGATGGGACTGAATTATCTAAGACACAACTTTGTGAGTAGGTTTTTGAAGAGTTGACATATATATACTGATCAACTGCAGTTGTGTGCTGTATATATGTTTCTCCCATTTAGTCAATATATTACTTATTATTATGGTTAAAAGTATTAATACTCTTGATGTGCAAATTTGTGTTTGAGAATTTGGTGTCTAAGACACAACTTTGTGAGTAGGTTTTTGAAGAGTTGACATATATATACTGATCAACTGAAGTTGTGTGCTGTATATAAGTTTCTCCCATTTAGTCAATATACTACTTATTATTATGGTTAAAAGTATTAATACACTTGATGTGCAAATTTGTGTTTGAGAGTTTTGGCTCACCAAAACTATTATCTTTTTTAATATTTTGGTCTGATGATTTGACAGGAGACCTGTTGCATCATATATTAGAGTTTTAAAAAGTTAGTATCTTATAATTCTTTATACTACATGTATTGGTGGCCCTGAGATAGCATATGATATCGATACTTTGAACCTTGCTTGCTTACCAGAAAATAAGAGAAAAATGATAGATCTCTACTTACAGTAAAGTAGTAAACTAATATTTGCAGACAAAAATAAAGGTAAACGAAGGATTGTGAAAGATAGATCTGGCTCTTATGGTTGCAATCATGTAGTTGCCCAGCCAATAATTGACTTTTTTTACCACCTATTCATTTTCGCAAAAATTGCTCTTGGTACTGTGCACAAAATAAAAAGTTCAAAAAGGAGGGAGAAAAATAAGAACAAAGATAATCCCTACTTTCAATTTTAGCATTACATTTTCTTCAAGTTTGAATTGTAGAAAGCTTCCAGAGAGCTGAAATTTGATTTCCAAGATCTAGACAGTGACATCCTGTGATATCAGTAGTTAAATACAATAAAATGCAAAGTGAAATGCTAGCCTCATATGGTTGACTCCTTTTTGATCCTAAGAAATCTATTGTCATTGATATAGAAAAAAGAAAGAGAGGGTTGGAGGAAGCTGTATTGCTGTCATAACATTTGGTTGCCAATCAGTTTTCTGTCAGTTGGTTTATACCGTGAGGAAAAGATCTGTTGATTTGTATTTTTGACATATCTATTGATTTCTATTGGAAAGAAAGAGGTCGAGAGGAAAGAGATTATTGAACCCGTAAAGTTATTAGCGCTATGCTTACCAACAAGGTAAATTTTGGTGCATCAGCAGATACAGAGTTCTCTATATATTAAATTGAACTACCAAACCTAGCTGGCCTGATGGTTGAACTGATTTACTCAGCATCTTAATGGGTTTGACATTTCTTTGGTTCGTAATGGTAAATTCAAATCAACTGATGTATGCAGAGTATGTAGATTTATTGGTTAAATCAATTCAAATCTTTTATAGGATTGTTTTGAGATTATTTGACATTGACTGAGTAGACTATCTTTTCAAAAGTGGATATAAAACTATCCCAGCACATTGTCCTGCCTTGGGACCTTTGTTTAGATGACATTTAAATGACTGGGAAATTATAGGGATGGTGGAAATTCTACACTGAATGAGGAGGACTGAAATTGATTCTGTGGAAATTTGGTCAATTGCTGGTATTTCAGTGGGACCTAAGGAAGGAAAGATTGTGTTGAGAATTGTGCTTTTTGCTGTTTTTTGGACTTGGGCAGAGAGGAACTCTAGGATTTTTACTTATAAAGAAAAAGAAAAACTCTAGGATTTTTGACAACAAATGTGATATGAATGAGCGCCTGTTAGTTAAATCGAAGGCTGAAATTTTTTTCTTGGGTGGGTGTGTGATAGGGAATTTTATAGGAAATCTTATTACACTTTATACAAAGGTTTGCTTTTTGTAAATTCTGCCAATCAAGGCTGAAAGGTTGTATATTCCCTTTGTACAGTTCCTTGGTGTACAGAGGGTCTTTTTGCTATTAATGAAAGTTATACTTTACCTTTTCTGGAAGAAAAAAGATATGACAGGACATATGGACATGGCATGCCTCCCCAAGCCCATCCTGTTGACACGCCAAGGTGATATTGACAAAACATGCCGACATTTTGGCATGCTAGACAGGATGTCATGAAAACTGACATCATCAATTTAAGGCAATGGCAATTTTAAGGTGTCTGTGCCCTTGATTATTGAGTGTTGATCTCTGATCACTCATTGTAATCATGTCATTGTGTTGTATCTGTAAAATTTTACTGCACTAAGGCAAAAGCCTGGACATGGGGCTATGGTTCATGTAAAAGATGGAACCCTCTCCACCTCCTGAAGCTCTCCCCAGCAAGCAACCCCAATAAAAAAACAAAGGAAAAAAAGGATAAGTATTAGTCATTCCTTTAGTTGTCGTCTTTCTAATCTTTGGGCCACACCATTGACTTATGACTGTACAATCAATTGTGCCTTATAAAAGCAAGGGAAAAAGACTTAAGCCTCCCTTGAGGTTTCTCATAAATACTGAAACTTCCCCTCTGTTTTCAGAAAGGACTAAGACTTCTCCTGTCAAAGTTATATCTAACAGAACATCAAAAAGTCTCTTATGCCCTTGCTAATTCTTCATAATTCAAAACAGTAGAATCTCTCTAGAGAAATGACCTGTGAACTTTTTTTTTTAATTTTTTTTGGAATAAGAACATATTTTTATTTCATGATTCCTTAATAGGGCTCCAACCATTCAGCAGAAACAGAAGTTACACTAGCACCCCAAAAAAATCCCTATTTTCTTTGATAGAAAGCAAGATACTTCTGCCCCTAAAATTGCTAAATATTTAAGATAACAGGAAGAGAGAAAAAAACAGAAATACAGAAATGAGTCAGGGAAAGAGTACATGAAGAGGATCTAGAAGAACCAATGGACCTCGGAAGCATTCTTCCATCCAATACCTAATTACATATGACGGCCCTTGTAAGAGCCAAAACTAGACAAGAAAAAGTGAAAAACAACAAAGAGATTGAGTGGCCTAAACAGCTTGAGGAGTTTATCAAGAACAAGAAAGAAGGGTTGGAGTGGCCAGTTCTGGAAGATTCTATGAGCAGAAATTTGGAGAGAAAATTTGAAGTGGCAGAAGTGAAGGAAACAATATTTTCTATGGATCGATCCAAGGCACCTGGGCTTGATGGCTTTTCTATGGCTTTCTATCAAGACTGTTGGGAGTGGTTAAAGGATGATATAATAAAGGTTTTTGAGGAGTTTTACCACAGGGGGATTGTCAACAGAGGAGTTAATGTTACTTTTATTGCGATGATTCCAAAAAAGTTGGGGGCATGCCATTCGAAGGATCTCAGGCCAATCAGCCTAGTGACAAGTCAATAGAAAATCCTAGCCAAGGTTCTTTCCCTTCGGCTAAAAAAGGTCCTTCCTTCAATCATTTCTCAATCTCAAGGAGCTTTCATCCAAAAAAGACATATCTCAGACCAAATACTAATTGCCAATGAATGTGTGGAGGATTTAAAGTGGTCTGGAAGAAAGGGCATTGTATGTAAATTAGATTTGGAGAAAGCCTATGATTTTGTGGATTGGGAGTTTGAGATTGAAGCATTAAGGAAATGTGGTTTTGGAGTTAGATGGTGTAGTTGGATCAAAGGATGCTTACAATCTTGCCACTTCTCAATGTTGATCAATGGAGTAGTGAATGATTTCTTTGGTGCCACAAGAGGGGTGGGACAAGGGGACCCACTATCCCCTTTCCTATTTCACTATCTTAGCATAGGTGTTTAGCAAGTTGATTTTGAAGGTGGATGAGGTGGGCTTCTTAAAGGGTTGGAGACTAGGAAAGGAGAGAGTGGTGGTAATCCACCTTCAATTTGTGGATGGCATCACCATTTTTTGTGAAAGTGGGAATGAGTCAGATGCAGGAATCTAAGGATGTTGGTGAACCTCTTCGAAAAAGTGACAAATTTGAAGGTGAACCTCAATAAAACTGTGGTGGCCGGGGTCAACCTAGACCAAGAAGAGGTTAATTTATGGGCAAGGGAATTAGGTTGTTTACAAAGTGAATGGCCTTTGAAGTATCTAGGACTTCCCCTTGGTGCCAATCCTAAAAATGTCTTGGTTTCTGGAATTCGGTAGTGGAAAGATTTGAAAAGAAGTTGGCTACGTGGAAAAGGAATTACATCTCTTTGGGGGGCAAGATAACTCTTATTAGATCCACTCTAGCAAATCTCCCAGTGTATTACCTCTCGGTGTTTAGCATGCTTCAAGCTATTGGAAAAAAGTTAGAGAAGATAACGAGGGATTTTGAAAAGAAGGAGCTCGGAGGTTTAGGACTAGGGAAGTTGAAGGAAAGGAATGAGGCTTTATTAAGGAAGTGGTTATGGAGATTCCCACGCGAGACAGATAGGCTTTGGCACAAAGTAGTGACTAGTATACATGGGCTCTCCAAGAATGGTTGGCATGCTGGAGTTTCTCGCAGGGCTTCTAGCTCCTCACCTTGGAAAGCGATTCACAAAGTTTTCCTGTCTCATCTCAACCTTGTCAGATTTGATCTCAATTCAGGTAATAAAATCAATTTTTGGGAAGATGTGTGGGTGGATGAGCAGTCCTAAAAAACCTTGTTCCCTTCAATCTTTGCCCTCTCCTCCCTCAAAGGCAATCCGGTTGCTGATTTCATCACCCCTTCCCCCTCCCTGTCTGGTTTTGCTTGGAATCTGGATCTTCGCAGAGATGTGAGGGATTCTGAGATGAGTTCTTAGTCTTCTTTGCTGGGTGTTTCTAGACAATTCTAAACAAGACACTAGGGTTTGGGCCCCCCACCCCTCTGGAGTCTTTAGCTGTCCTTCCTTCTTCAAATCCTTGTCCTATCCTGCTCAACATGGGGTACCTTTCCCTGTAAAAGAAGGGTGGTGTCGGCGTGTCACCCTATTCCCCATAAAGTGGGTGCTTTTTGTTGGGAGGTCTATCATGGTGCAATCAACACCTGTGATCTGATGCAGAGGAAGAGGCCTGGCTGGTGTCTATCACCTAATTGGTGCTGTTTATGTGAGACGAATGGTGAGACTGGCAGACTGCTTATCATATCCTTGTTTCCTGTCCTTTTGCTGGCAGTATTTGGGATTGGTTCTTCTATCTTTTTGGATGCAGGTGGGATACTCCGATGAACTTGGAAGGGCTGTTTGACTCTTCTACTTTCAGATGACCAAAATGAAGAGGGAGAATACTATGGAGATGCACAAGGGCAGAAATAATTTGGGTACGGTGGGAGGAAAGAAACTTGAGAATTTTTAAGAAAAGAAAAGATGCAAGGTAGAAGTAATAGACCGGATTATGATAAAGGTAACATCATGGGTAGAGTCACCAAAGTTATTTTCGGACTTTACAATGTATGATATAATTAGGAACTGGAGGGAAGTTGCTTCTTCTTCAACCGTTAAGAAGGTCTTAAAGGAATGGGACCCCCCTGAATCAGGACTCCTCAAACTGAACTTCGATGGAAGCAGCCTTGGCAACCCGGGAAGATCTGAAATTGGAGGAGTAGGGGATTGTAGTGGGGCTGTTCTCAGGCCCTATTGGTATGGGTGATTCCACTACAGCTGAACTGAAGGCAGTGGTATTTGGTATCCGAAAAGCTAAGGAGCTGGGGGTGCGAAAGCTTGTTGTGGAAGGCGACTCCAAAGTAGTGATAATATCAAGCTGGCTAAAGCAAACTGAAAAAATACCCTGGCTGCATAGAAATGATGTCAAAAAGATTAAAAACCTCTCCAAGGACTTGCAGCTATCATTTCAGTGGACTCCAAGAGCGGCAAATGGATTTGCAGACCAGCTAGCAAAACAAGGGGCAAACGAGGATCAGTGTTTTTGGGCTCAGTTGTAAGGATGATATATCAAAGTGATAGTTGGCAACTTAAGTTTTAGTGGGGTAGCCGAGGCTACTCATAATCTGTAATTCATAATTTCTTATCTTAATGAAATTCTCTTTTACCGATAAAAAAAGCTAAAAAGAACAGACAAGAAATGCATTGAGGAGCTTCTCTTGCTGTATCTCTTGTTACCATATCCATGACCTAAACAACTTGTAATGGTCTATTATTTGTCTGGACCCATGACTCCATATCCTGCTGCAACTTATGCATAAACCTCCCAAGTAGTAATCTCTTTTGTATCTTTTCCCCAACAATAAGCAGGAGTGTGGACACATGCCCTGTGGATCTGTACAAACCATCAAAAGACTGAAAAGTACCATTCAATCCTTCTAAGAAGAAAGGGAAGTCTTTTGCGTCGGAAACTGAAAAATTACCACTCAAATCATCTAAGAAGAAAGGGGGAAGCTCTATTGAATTCCATCCCTGTTTTCTTCAACTCAATGTATTTCGTCAAAAGCTTCACATCTTTCTCTTTCCAGTAGCTTCTCAATGTGGCCCTTGACAGTCTTGTATATGATGGCCTGGATGATTGCCAAAGAACAGAGGAGAAAGTAGAGGGATAGAATCCAGGATCCATGGCATGCTCCACCATGTGGGTCCCTCAATACCGCACTGAGGAGGAGGACAAGCACTGTGGAATGGAAGAGGAAGAAGCAGTAGAGTTGGGTGATCTTCTGACAAAGGATATCAATTTGGATTTCCTTCAAAGTAATCCAGCAGTATCAGACTATCAGTTCTTTAAGCCATTGTTTCAAGAGGAGCTTGTGGGTTGGGCTTTCAGCGATTTGGTGAAGTGAGTTAATGGGGTTTAAGTTCTATAACCGATGAGTTTACTTGTTGATCTGCTATGCACCATGGATTTAGTAGATGCAGTGCAGAGAGGGAGTGAGAGAGTAGAATCCATAAAAGGGGCAAGATTGGGGTTTTAAAAAAGTTTCAGCCACATTTGACGTTACATTTACAAGCAAACAATCTTGACAGAATGATATTGGAGGGGAGGTCTTTGTCTGATGACATCATCCAAGAAGGGAAGTCTATAGTCCTTGAAAAAAGAGGGGAGGTATAAGTCTTTTACCCTTAAAGCAAATAAGGTCCTTTCTGGTTCATTGCCTGGCTTGAGTTTTTAAATATTTTCAATAAAATAAAATATAAGACATTGCATTAGATTCTGTAAGATGTTAGTATTTACTGTTTTGAAGATGCTGTTTAGAATTTCCATTTTTTTTTTGTGATATACCATTATGTGCTATTTGTGAGAAGCTTGCTATTTTTATTGACTGTTGATGGTCTCCTCAAGCCTGTGCCTTCATGATAAATCTAAGTAAAAATTGGTTGTTGTTTCATTTATTACTTGAGTTGCTCTATTGAATTATTTTACCTTTATATGCATACGGAGTTTTGTTTACAATCCTTGATTGATGATTTTATCCGACCATTGCAGCTATGTTGTTGATGCTGCTGATCCTGATAATCTATCTATCTCAAAAAGTGAACTTCATGACCTTTTGAGCAAGCCTTCACTGAGTGGCATCCCACTGTTGGTATTGGGAAATAAGATTGACAAACCAGAAGCTCTTTCCAAACAAGCGTTGACAGATCAGATGTAAGTACCAATGGCTTTATGTCCATTCCCAGGAGTCCATCCTTCGAATGTAATTGAGAACATACTGTTTCATAAAGTAATTACTTTGTCAATTATATTTTCTGGGTCGTGAGTTTTCTAGTCTCACTAAACCTAAAATGGAAGTTGCTGTTGTTAAGGATAATTTTGTGTTGTGCAGGGGGCTCAAATCAATAACTGATAGAGAAGTTTGCTGCTTCATGATTTCGTGCAAGAACTCGACCAACATTGACTCTGTCATTGATTGGCTTGTAAAGCATTCAAAGTCGAAGAACTGAGAATGAGAAGAGAAAGTGTTTGCAGTTTGGGATTGCTGTTTTTAGATTATGAAACTGTGATTTTGGTGGTTGGTGGTGGGAGTTATTCTTGTCTAACAGGGTTTCTGATTCTCTGACCATTTTCTTTCTTCTACCATATATTAGATTGTTCCCCTTCTGGTTGGGAAAACATTTGGTCTTGGGGTTATGTGGTACTTAATTTATTCAATCCTCTCTCTCTCTCTCTCTCATCTGTTGTGATCATGGAACTGGAGTCGATGGATTTTTATGTGATCATATTGATCTGGTGTGAATAGCAGCATTTTCTTGTGCATTTGGTACCAAATTGTTTTTGATAGATGACTTTGCAATATCAAGTTAGCAGCGTTGCATGGAGACATTGGAATCAGAATCTTACACATTTAGGTAGTTGGACCCTGCAGAAAGAAAAAGCAAGAGCTCATGGACATGTTCTATAGAAAAAATTTGAAATATTAAAGGGAAAATTCCCAATTAGTATCTTGTACTTTGGGCCTAGTGCCATTTTGGTCCCCAAATTTTAAAATGTGACAATTCAGTATCCGAATTTTCAAAACGTGTCAATCTAATACCTGTCGTTAATCAACTGTTAAGTGGCATTTGAAAAAGACACAAATGCCCTTCAAGTGTCATCTAATTTTTTTGGTCAACTATCCAAATGTTTACAAAAAATTAATAGTCCCAAATCCTTGTCTCTTCTATTAAAGAAAGTTGGGGTATGTTAATTTTTTGTCAACATTCTTGAATAGAAGTTAATAAATAGTACAGAAAAATATCCTAGATGAATGGCCGTGATGCTCCAACGAGATGGAGTGTTGGGATCTGGTCATATCGTCGATCCTTTAATGCATCACGATATAAGCCTTGGTCTTATGTCATGGATTCTAAGCTTTGTTCTTCAAGATTTAAGCCTTCAAGATATAAGCCTTGGTCATGGCATAAGACCAAGGCGCATGGACATGATGAGAAAATGCCCAATTCGCATGCTAAGATGTATTGATGGGTTTGTTTTTGTCTTGTTTTGTTTTACTTTGACTTTTCTATGCTTAGTTGTAGTTTTTTAGAATGATTCCTATATCAAGGCAGATTTGTTTTCCTAAATTAAAGGGATCCTCATTAGATTAGGTGTTTCTTTATAAGATAATGATGCTTACATGCCTATATAAATGCTACAACTATGTAAAACGAGATCATCAATGATATAGAGGTATTTTCAGCAAGTTTACCTTTGCTTTCTTGTGTTTTTGGTAGAATACAATATTTTGACTTATCAAGGGAGTGATCAACCTTTATGGCGTCTTCAAGATTGGATTCTTTAAGGATTTAGTTTCCTTAAGGTTTTAATTTGATCAACTACAACTTGTTTTCTAGCTTTTGGGTGCATAACAACTTGATTCAAGAGTTCCTAGAGCAGGTCGTCTAGTGGATTCTTATCAGTTGGTTGGCGCATCTTGATGTGGGTGGATGGAGCAGATGAAGGGCTGGTGGAATTGGCCATAGCTCTTTTCATGATTGTCAGCTCGACCCTCATCTCATCTAACTGCGCTTGGAAGCTGTCCATCATACCTTGAAGGTTGCTTTGGAAAGAGCTGGTTGTAACTGTTGCACGGTGTTTTGAACGTCTCGGAGGGCTTCGTTAAAGCGGCTCTCCAACTCCACCACAGCATTCTCTACTGTCTCCATGTTGAGATGGAGTTCGTCGACCCGGTCTCGAGTCTCACCTACTGTTGCCTCGTAGCGTAGGATGCGCATATCCATGCTAGCTAGTTGGTCGACAGATTTGTCATGCTAGCTTTAGTTGTGCGGCCCTTTGGGGCTTGTGTCTTGGTAGGATCGTCGAGTGAAGCCTCATTGGTGTCGTGGGCTTGATGCAGCCCGTGTAGTATGTCATCGGCAATGTCATAGTTTCTCTTCATTGTGCTGAAGTAGGGGCGAAGACAGGGTCCAATGTGTGTGTAGGAGCTCCTGCTTTGATACCAACTGTCACGGGGCTAGTCGTTGGGACCCCGTGAGACACTCGAGTGCGACGAGTAAGCCTAAGCAACAAGCAACAACACAAGAAAAGGCAACAAAGATGGCACACAAATTAGACAAAAGGCAACTTGTATTGCATTAATGGATGGCAAGCATAAGCACACAGTTCAGTATCGACGGGATCTCATGCTTAACCTTTACATGCTCTTGACTCACTCGACTACCTACTTCCCYTCAAAGAGTACGTTAAGCTTTTGGGGGAGTGATATAAAGATACATCAAAAGGATGAAAAATCATACTAGGTAATTACAAGAATGCCATTGGCAATCCCCCATACAAAAATACATGTATAGCCCACCCATGACACACACTTAGACACTGAAGTGGCGGCTGTAGGCATGATGGATGGCACTTGATGGCACGGTGAAGAGAACACTTGTGACATGGCGGCAACGAGTTTGAAATGGCTTCCGAGATCAACCACCGCATTCTAGCAACCAGCTAGTACATCAGCTATGGAGCCCTGTAGCGTAACACTGTACCTTGCTCCCGACGCGGTGCATCTTACTACAATTGCAAACACGGAGCTCAAGCCAATCCCTACAACCGAGGTTGCAATGCCATCACTCGGTGCTGGAGCTAGTTCTGTATTTTCCTTTCACTTATTTCTTTGATCCTTATTCTGGGATTTAATGGGGGTGTTTGTTAATTGTTATACAAGAGGAAGAGGGGAGGAGGAAGCTGGTTGGGAGGGGGTGTTTAATTTGAATTATATTGGAGGTGTTATTATAACTATAATTGGCTGCTTGTGTAAAACATTCTTTTTTTCCATCATTGTTATTCACTTGCATATTTCTTCTTTTTTGTTTTCTATTGTTTATAATTTGATGTAGATCATCTTTTCTTTTGCTTTGCACATTGAAAGGATTAATGGGTTTTTGGAGTTTAGGCAGTCTAGAATCCATATAGAACAGTTCAAAAAACAGTTTTTCCTTTCATGGTTTATTCTGAGATGTGTTCATTGATGTCCACCTCCCTCTATCTAGCGGGTCTGTGTCTACCATAGAATTAATGGCATTTCTTTTAGTTATGGGTTTGTGCTGGAACTTGTTTTTCTGTTTGAAATTTGAATTCTGCTCTCTTCCTTCTTCCACTGTAGTTGAGGGGAAAAGATTTGGTGAAGGAAAGAAATAGGAGTGGAGGAAGAAAAGGAAAAGGCAGAAAAAAGTGGATTTTTTTTTTTCTTTTCATCTTAAGAAAATCTATATAGAAATCAGGAGCAGAACAGTGGGCACCATTAATTCGTCTTCTTCAAGAGGAGAGAAGAAAATGGAGAGATGAGAGAAATGGCTTGGAATGCTTAGATGTCATTTGGATTTGGGTGTCCACCATCCACCATTTACCAACCTCCAAACAAACCCTTATAACCCAAAAGAAGGGAAGCTGGGAAGGATCTACGCCTCTGAAAACAATCAGAGAGTTTGTGAGCCGACCCATTGCATATTATAGCAAAAGCAGGAGAAAAAAAAGGCTTATTAGCTTAAACTCACTGACAAGGCGCTCCCGGAAAAAGAAGGGGAGAGAGAAAGAGGGGGAGAGTGGTGAGGGTAAATTTGGGTTTTCTCACCGAATATTAACGAAATTTAATAATAAAGATAGAGTTAGTCAATTGTTAAAAACATTAGGACTAGGGTTAGTCAATTTTGAAACAGTAAGTGTACATTTATTATTATTATTATTTGAGTCTTCGAAATAAAACCCTGACAAGAAACTGCCTCTCGTATAGCAGTCAGCAGACATAACAGTGGAGCTGGAGCGAGACTGAAGGCGGGAGAGAGAAGAGAAAGTCAAATGAGTTGTTGTTGTTGATCCGGATGGCAAAGTTCAAAACCCTAATCAAGATCCGAGGCGCCATACCAAACATTTGTCCAAGGAAGTGGGGCCAACCAACAGACTCCCCTCTTTCGTCTTCATTCTCCAGTTCAGGACGACCCCTCTCGGCGCTTGCCGGATCTCCAGCAACTTTGTCTTCTCAATCTCAAGGTCTCTTCTTCCTCATTCTCTATCTCTCTGCCTTCTGTATTAGGAATTTACTGTTTCGGGCCAAAATGTTGGTCTTCTATTTTCTAGAATTTCTACTGTTTAGTGTTTTTAAATTTTTGTAGAGTTTTTATGAACTTTTAAGAACTGACGTAATCTTCAATGCTTATATCGGAGAAAGAGAGAGGCAGATGGTCGAGATGGTTGCTTTTTCTTCCTGGGGCTATCACGTTTGGCCTTGGAACTTGGCAGATCATTCGAAGGCAACAGAAGGTATGGTAGCTAATGCACATTTCATTTTTATTAATTTTGCCTTTGGTATTAATAGATTTAATTAGTTTTTGCTTTTATTTCCACAACTGTTTTATTTTCTTCTTCGTCTACTCTTTTTTTTTTCTTCTCCTTCTTGATGTGCTTTGTAATACTCAACTAAGCCTTGTCCCAAAGCTCTGAAATTTCTGTGCGGGTTTTAATGATTCGTTTTGGAATGTCCTTCTCTTTTAACCAGTTTAATTCTCATTATCTCCAAAATGACTTTTCTTTTCTTTCTCAGTTTTCTTATTCCGTGGACTTTGTTTTCGCGATTTACTTGGCTGTTAAATTTGTTCCCGAATTTCTGTTTGTGTTCTATCTTTTCTTCTACTCTTAATAAGAAAGTTGTGTTTTAACATGTTCCCTGCAATTGATTTTTCACAGATAGAAATGCTGGAATATAGGAAAAGAAGGTTGGAACTGGAACCTATCGCATGGAATAGCTCATCTTCTTCTTCTCCAGGTGAAAATTTGAGTTCCCTGGAGTTCAGGAAGGTGATATGTGAAGGAGTGTTTGATGAGAGTAAGTCGATCTATGTGGGCCCACGCTCTAGAAGCATTTCGGGAGTTACTGAAAATGGCTACTACGTTATTACACCTCTGGTGCCAATCACTGACAACCCTGAGAGGTAACAAATTGTTGTGTAGGTGATATATTGAATTTTATTGATCTCTTATGTCTCCTTAATAAATCTCAAGCTGACAAGCATGAGAATGTGGATTCGGAACACCTAGAACATCTGCTTTATGCCAAAAGATAAAAAATGCCGAAGTTTAGGTCTATATCCAATCCTCCACTCCCAAGACCCCAGGTTGCCCAAAACTGGGTAATGGCCTTTGGGCCTCTTATGTCTCCTTAATTCTTCAGATGAGGCTTTTTAAGAAATTCTATCTGGGATATCCTGTATCTCCTTTTTTATGGCAAAACTACTAATAAGTTTCTTGACTGAATGACCAAATGTGTAGACGGTAGACCTAAATGACTAGAGATTGAAAGTGGGGCAGGATCTTTTATTATTTTGATGGCATAGACTGTAACTAATTATTGTGGTTCTATGTGTTTATCTGAGTGCTTTTGAGATGATAATTTGGTAAAAGCAAGTTGATCATTTTTTGAGCATGTGATAAAATACAAGTTTTCAATTTTGCACATTTGTAAATGAACAAGTTGATAGTTTTTGGTAAAAGTAAGTTGATAATAACAACAATAAAAAGAACAATGGTTTTAAGTGATAAAATACAAGTTTGCAACTTTGCACATGTGTAAATGAACATGGTCAAAGATTAGTGATTTCATTATTTATCAAAAAAAAAAAAGATTAGTGATTTCACTTTTCTGGTACAAGGTGAGGAATGGGGTTGATGTGCACACTATGAGGTGAAAATATGGCCAACTCAGAGCCTCCCTAATCTGATAGACCATCAATATTGGCTTTCTCTGTGTGACACAAGTAAGAGGAATTGTCTAGTAATCTTAGTTGATTGACCTGATTAGGAAACCATTTTTCTACATGTGTGTGTACTGTTTTTCTTGTTGTCTTGTCATGTACCTTCAAAATTTTATCAGTTGAGTTATAAAAAAAAATCATAAACATGAGTAATGCAGCAAGACTTAAAGAAGGCTCCTTGTTGCTTACGCGCCCAAGAGATCACCTTGACCTGCAGGATGATTCTCTACCTGAGAACTTTTGTAGTAGCAATGTGTTGAGTTACTATTTCTATTGGAACTTAGGTGTAGCATCAAACCATGTATTGGAGACAAAGACTAAGCCGCTAAGGCAGAGACACAAAGATTAATGATGCATTTGAATTTAACTGGTAAAAAATTATGCGGTCGAGTAAAGGTGGTTTTCAAAAGGAAATGATGAAAGATGTAAGTGATGTCCTACTAAAACAAAGTTTCGTGCAACCAAATCTGTGCTTAGGTGGGTGTGGGACATGTACATGATGCACCCCTTGCCTTATTTCCTACTGGAGGTCACAGGGATTTGCTTCAAAATTTTTAGACAAATCTAGATTGTCGAGTAAGGATGAGGTTATAAGCTTGATGAGACTATTAATATTGAACTTCTTGCTTTCTATGATGAGTTGATCAGTTGATATCCATTAACAATTATTTCAATATTCACTGATCAAAAAACAATTTTTTCAATATTCAAACAGTTTGAAACTCTATAAGGTAGGAATAAATATGGTATGGTAATAATGTTTAGGGGGTGAGTGCAAATGGTGGAACAACCCTAAGGAGATTTTGCACAAGACTGAGTCAACTACTAGTAATTGGTTGGGAAATGATGAATCTGAGAAGTATCAATTGACTGTTGATTACCCATTTTGGAGGGTTATTTTTCCATCGTGAAGGAAGATCATAATTGTTTTAACTTTTAAAGCTTTAACATTGCTCATGGGAGAATCTTGACTAACGACTAAGGAAGATTAATTAGGTTTTCATTCCTCCCAGACTTCCCCACCTAAAAGGAAAGGGGAAATAAAATTCTTGCAAACTTGTGAAAAGATAGAAACAAAATTAAATTGGTTTTCATCTTTTTCTTTGCTCTTATCTCCATATAGTTGGTATAAGGCATGGATGATGATGATGATGATCGTTTTGATGTTTTCTTTGCTCTGAATTGATAGAACTTTTTATATGGTAATATGCAGAATAAGACAACCTGACAAAGATGAGAAAAACAATATTAAAAGTGTGGGCATGCCAATTTTTACTCCGCCAAATATTAAATTTTGGATATCTTGGATGTACCAAGTGAATGATCACTACTGTGACTGGGAATTATGAATTGGGCATTTCTAAAGTTTTCTTATGTCCTCATAGATTTATTGGTTTATTATTATCATAATCTACTTCATCCAATAATTAGATATATTTGTCGCTTGTTGGAATTGTTTTGACTGACATATTGCATGGTTGAATATTGACTAAAATTTGAAAATCTTGTGCCAGAGTGCAGTCACCAATCCTGGTTAATAGAGGATGGGTTCCACGCAACTGGAGGGACAAGCCTGTAGAAGCTTCGCAAGATGTTGAGCAATCTTCAAATAAAATGTACCATGATGTTGGCGAGAATGAAAGAAGTTCTTGGTGGAAGTTTTGGTCTAAGAAGCCTAAACATATAAAGGTTTTTGGTAGTTGGTCCATGACCATTGCTTAATGTAAGCAGAAGATTTTATTTTATTTTTTAGGCTAGGATGTCCTGACATTGGAATAAATCTTTGTCAAACTTACAGGATCAAGTTCCTGCTATTACACCTGTTAAAGTTATAGGGGTGGTTCGTGGGAGTGAGAAGCCAAGCATTTTCGTTCCAGAAAATGATCCTGCTTCTGGTCAGTGGTTCTATGTTGATGTTTCTGCCATTGCACGCACCCGTGGACTTGCAGAGAATACTATGTACATTGAAGATATCAATGAAAATGTCAATCCTAGTAAGCCATACCCTGTTCCAAAGGATGTCAACACTTTGATTCGCAGTTCAGTCATGCCACAAGACCATCTAAATTATACATTGACGTGGTAAGCTTTTTGCTTTCTAAAAAAACGAAATTTATGCATCTTTCTGGTTGTGGTATTTGTAATTAGCTTTCATGAGGAATGAAGCCTTTTTTTTTTTTTTTTGATCAATGGAATGAAGCCATTCGCCTCTCCTGTATCATACAGATTCTATGTGCATACATGTCTCAAGCCTTTTGTTGATTCCCATCTCTGGTAGATTTCTTACATCTGTTGAACCTATTCAGGTTATCTTAATTGTTGTCTTTGATGTCTTAATTATTGTGTTAACTGTTGGAGAGGATTTGGGAAGGCACCCAATGAGAGTACCCATTACCCAACCAACCCACTGACCCAAATCCAAATGGTTTGTCAACCCATGTACAACCTGTGAAGTGGATTCCCACCTCTTTGAATTCCGACTTGGATAATTCATAGATATGCACGTCAGAAATCTGAATTTCCTTTAATCTCTAATTTAAACTGTCATGTGAGATAGTCCAGGGACAGGAAAGCACTTAAAATCAAAAGTTTTACTAATTTGGTTGACTTAAAGCTAAATGATTCCTTATTCCTTTATTATTGGCACGGTGGGAATATATTTTCTGAAAACTGTTTCATTTTTATTAACAGGTATTCTCTATCAGCAGCAGTAACATTCATGGCCGTCAAGAGACTAAAACCAAGAAAGAGCCAGAGATAGTCTTTCCTGTAAGAGATTTTACATTTGCACTTTATCATTGTGTTAGGACTTCGCTAGATGTAGAATGGCGGAACAGGATTTGTGCAGCCACCCTTGGTGTTTGGGGCAAGGCTTAGTCGAGTTTTCCCAGTTATGACTTATGAGTCCATAAGAATAAGGAACTGAGTCATAAGAATAAGGAATATTTTTTTGGTAACTTGTGAGAATAAGGAATTTTTATATTGTAGGGATAAAACTAAAGGTCGCCAAATGAAGATGACAGGTTCATACCATCTTAAACGCAATGTCTCTCATTTAATTGCAAATTTCCATGTAGTCCAAAATCTACATGTTAAAGATGACTCGGGATCTGCTATCCGCACTACCCACAAGAGACTACAGCCGTAAGATGTGCGGCTGCAATGTCTTGTGAATTGTTGTGGCATTCTTGTGGGTATCCGATCCAGTCGCGTTAAAGAGATGCTGCTTTAACAGCTAGCAAATGTATTCTCCACATTTGTTACTGAAGGGACAATGGCCTTCTCGAGCCAAGAACTAGATCCTCCTTGCAGAATCATTGGGCAGATTCGTGGGGATTCGCTAATTCAGCTTCGCTACTTGATAATATTGAGGAAGTTGTCTAAAAACTCACCATGCGTTTTCAGCATCTCTCTTAAACTCACCACAATTTTTCAAAATGTCTAAAATTCATCATGTCGCTAATTTGACGGTAAACAGACTAATGGGTGTTAATATATTACCATTTTAACCTTCATAAAAAAATATAAAATATATACAAAATTAAATTAATGGGTGTTAATATATTACCATTTTAATATTTAGACATGATAAAATGAAAAAGTTCAAAACAATATTTTCAAATATAAAATGCATAAAAACATAGAAATTGCAAACAAAATGAAAAATTATTTTCAAATTATAGAAACTATAGAAATTGAAAAACAAAATCAGAAAATAAAAATTGTAAAAAAAACACTAAAAATTATAGAAAAACACAGAAATTGCAAATAAATAACAAAAAATACAGGAGAAAATAGAAAAATGTAAAAAAACAGATATTATAAAAAACATTGAAAATTATAACAAAACACTAAAAAAAGGAAAAAGAACAAGAAAATAAAAAACTGAAAAAGATCATTTTTCCTTTAACTCACCATTCAAGGGTAATTTGGTCATGAAAATTGTTATTTATGCTCACATGGACACCTCTGTTAAGAAGCATTAACGTGCACAAATCAGAAGGTGAATTTTGGAAAATAAAAATTAACTAATGATGAATTTTGGACAATTTCCCTAATATCCGCTTCATAATCAGTAGTGCAATTGTATTATTACCTGGGCTTTTCAGAGCGTCTAATTTGTGGGCTTTTCACATGCATTGCACCTTTGAAAAGAAAATTTGGTACTGCTGGATTGCTTTTGGTCGGATCCCTTGGTTTAGGGATGTTGACTTTGTTCAGTCCACTTGTGGATGGGACTTAACCCTATCAACAAGAGCTCTATTTAATTATTGACCGGTTTGATAACGAGTATACCAACTCAGAGAATAAGGTCAACAATCCATGGCATGAATGATCCAAGTTATTTATAGCATTCCTATCTCAGCCTGAGACGCTACATCAGCCTCAAATAGGTAATGCAGCTTTAACGTTCACAAAATGGTAGATAGCGGTGTAGAGCCGATTCAATTTGAAACTGGAAAACCGCAATTTGCATCGGCTTTTGCACATGAAGCATGATCTGGAAGGATAATTTGCTTCACTTTCTGTACACTGCGTCTCTGTGTTTGAAATTGAAAGTTGAAACCTGAAACACCTAATAAAGTATTGTGCTTCAAGTTTCGTGCCACAATGTCTCTATTCCCCCTCCTGTACCAAAACGCTATCTCGGGTGTTTCCATGCTTCTATAGTTTTATGCCTATGCTAGATAGACGTGCCACGGTGCCAGCGGTCTGGCTTCTGGCTCTGGGTTATATTTAATATTTATATGTTTCAGTTCAAGGTGTTGTTGGGTTTGGGTCCACCTATGCCACGTGGTTCCAGACTCGTAGCCAGACCAAGCTGTACTCCTTCCAAACTGAGTCCAAGGGAGTTAATAGGACATGTGGAGATTGTCAAAATCCTATTGAGCTACAATCTATACCTTGCTGCATGTTAGTAAACAAATAAAAAGAAAAGAAGTGTATTTGCTTTCTTCCTCTCTATAAATTGTAGGATTCGTAAACGTAATTTAGATGTTTATCAGCTACCTGCTATCTCGGCCCAATTCCTGTCGGGTATCCAAGAACAAAGACCCTATTAAGTATTACTCCATGTTGGGTATGTTAATTTTCCTGGTAATCAAATACCCTTTACCCCTTTCCTAACGGTAAGAAACTCAAGCTAGTTTGCTGGGCGGTTAAGAACTGCATCTCTATTTTTGGTACATAGACTGGTTGTATGTATTGTGAGGGGCACCATGTTTGCAGTAGGCCAGTAGTCGTATAACTAATTATTTATTCCTTAATAATTCTTATTTGAGACAGGCGACACTATAACATGTTAATCAAAGGAATGAGACAGCTACAAAATTGTACCATCACCCTCCAAGCAATGCAAGTGGAAAAATGTAAACAAATGTTTATTTAATTGTGTCACTCACCCACCATTAAAAAGGTACGCTGTCTTTGGGCTCATCAATCCCATCAATGGGTGCCATGGACCCACTATGGCGAAAATAATATTTAAGCAAAGATTCAAATTTCTGTGGTTTAAATGTTGACTTTTCATTAGGGTCTTACTACAAACACTTCTCATTCATTGTTGATGAGATTTGAGAGTAACCCAAGTCTAATGGTATAGAATAGTAGCTACTACTTCCACTATTGCATCAAAAATTCAAAAAGACCCATTGTCAATGTGATCTTCGCTTCCTGATTAAATTCCATAGAGAATTCCACTCAACACACCATCTCGTGTTGTAAATGCAATATATTGTTTTTACACAGAAAGGGCTAAAGGAACCGCAGTGAAAAGAGTGTCTCAGAGCTCTGTGAGCAAAACAATTGAAATCCACTGGTCATTGCATTAGTCTTGTTTGTGTATAAGGGAATCTAAGATCTTGGGATTCAGTCCGTAAACTGCGTGGCATCAGTCCCAATTCAATTCCACCCCAGGAGAAATTGGATTTATCCTGATAAAAGCGTCAAGTACATTCCAGTCCGATGACAGAAATGAGCCTCCTCAGTCCTCAATTCTCACATCAGTGTGTTTATTCCTTGAATCAAAATCCACCTCGTAATCGTATGAACTATGAATAGCTGAAACAACTGAGCAGAATACCTCCATTTGTCCTCCTCCCAAATTTCCACCAAATCGTTTTTTTAATTCGTTAGGTTCCCTCCTAATCGATCAAAAACACCTTTTTCTTGGAACCCCATCTGGCTATCTTTTCATTTTTCCAGCAACAGAAACACTATTTGTCACTACAAGCCGCAAGAAGATGCCCTGTCACCGAATATGGTTATTCTATTATTCTAATGCCATAATAAAATAGAGAAGGAAGTCGAATATTTCTCGGAACCCACGTCGCATCTATAAGAATATTATCTGATTTCCACCTTGGTAACGACATAAAAGGAGAGTGGGCCAAACTTTGTGACAAGCTCCAATGTCGTCCAATCTCACTTTACGAGAGCCCCACAAAGCTATAAAGCAAGGCTGCAAGACCCAGGCTGAAGTTTTCTTCCGAAATTTTCCCTACACGATTTTCTAATATTTGAATTCGACAACGACAAATCACAAAATCTCTCTTTCTATCTGTATCTCTGTATCGCATACTCTCTATGTATACCTCTGTATCGCACATGCAGTTTCTCAGTATTCCTGTTGTCTTCTAAGTCTCCTACATACAAGCATGGGCCTTGGTCACCAGCACCATTTCCCTAGATGAACTTTTGATGCATTGATGCTATAGTTAATTAGTCCGTTACTCAATCAGCCTAAATCATTTTAAATAGGGTAAATTGCTGAAACCTTTCTTGAAAATTTTGACCATTGCTGATTTATTTTTTTAAAGTTTGGTAATTGTAATAACTTCTCTTGAATTTTTTGAGACAGTTACAACTAAATTCCTTCTATTAGAATCCTCTAATAAAAGTCATAAAAATATTCAAAATATCCATGTAATTGTTATTGGGACTGGTTTCTATAAAAAAAAAAAACAATACAAACTTCATAGACAACAAAAAAAGAGAAATTAAATTTGCAGATTAACCTTTGAGCAATATATATGAATAGAAAATTTGAAAAACAAATTTATTTCAGAAAAGAGATTGGAAGGGTTTGGGCTAGCCATTCATATGATATGAAAATTTAGAAAATAAACATTTTGGTCAAAAGTAATTATAGATATTTTGAACATTTTTATGCCTCTTTTCAAAAGATTCAACAAAAGAGGTTTAGTTGTAACTGTGTTAAAAAATTTAGAAGAAGTGATTACAATCATCAAAGTTGGGAGATTTCAATAACAACCAGAAACTTCAAGAGAGGTTTACACAATTTACCCTTTTAAATAACTCCTATATATTGTTTGTTTTAAACATGAGCCTGAGGACAGACTCTGTTGGCCATGAGAACTCTAGTTTAAACTTTAAACATGTGGTTGTTGCGTGCACTTAATTTGTCTTAGCTTCCGCTTCACGTCCAGACCACAATGTGAAAACAGAAAATCCTTTTCCATTTATTTATTTATTTATTTTTCTTCAGTTCCCTCATTCTCCATTCAATTAGCATAAATTTAATATAAGAAAAAATATTAATAAAACGATTACTTTTTAAGAAAAAGGCATTCAAAGTCCTAAATTTTCAAAACATGAGGATAAAAATTATAAAACCTTGCATCCAAATTAAGTCACTAACATTAATCTTTTGGGTTTGTTTTAAGAATCGGGATTTGCTCTCTTGCATCTCACAATGACCTCATAGCATATCCCGTGTGTGTGTTGGAAACATCTTCCATGAATAACAACACACAGGTATGGAAGATGTTTCCGATGTGTGGCTGGGATGTGTTGTGAGGAGTATGTCGGGAGTTTCAGACTCTTTTTCTAAGCACTTTAGGCCCTGTTTGGTTTGCAGGAATAAGGGTATGAAATCAGAATTGGAATGGGCTATTCTAATTCCAACTGTTTGGTTGGGCAGAATCAAAATTCAAGTCCCATTCCTGCTGGAATGACATTCCCTTATTTGAGTGAATTAGGGAATAACCATTCCCTTCCCCTTCCTTGGGAAAGAAA